CCAAGTTTTCCCCTCTGAGAAGAACTAGTCCCAACACACGCTTCTCTTCTCTGGCTTCTGTCTTTGCAGTTTTTGGTTTGATTCTCCTGAATTCATCACAGTCGCCCAAAATGAGGTTCATGTGTTTGTCGAACGCTTTAAATGTGCCGATGAAGACACGCCCGTCCTGCAGAGCACATCGCACACGGTAGTTGATGTGCTGCAACATTTTTGAACTCTTGCCGGCCACCTAAGATTTTTTAATTTAACGTGATTATTATATGGTTTTAACAACTTCAAAAAATAAAAGATTTCACATAATTTTCAAATTACTAACAAGAACATAAAACCGTTTTCCAATTTCTACGTGATCACCCTTGCTTAAATTAAATTTCAAAAGAATGCCCAGTTAAGTTTGTATAAAACAGTTACTTCATAATAATTCTTTGTTTACGACTGAACGGACCCCCCCTCCCCCCTTTGAATCTGAGGAATAACATTAACAAACTGTATTCTCTCATAAAAATGAACGAGGATTGATATTCTGAGTTCATCTTAAACTAACATTAAACCACACTCACCATGATTGCAGAGTGGATGACGGCCGATATTTGCAGAAATTAAGAGGGTACCAAGTACGCCTCTGATTATCACGTCTATGTTTTCAATATGGCGGCGCACGCGGGTTAAACGCACCGGTTCCGGGTGCGCGCGCAGCCCTCAGGATAATTTAAAGAAGGGGGGGCGGATGCGAAGCCGACCCTACCCCCCCCCCACCTCCACCCCTGAAGATTCCTCGAAGATTACTAGTAATGTTGTTTTGTTACTTTTACAGGAAAAATAAAGATAGACGGACCCTTAGACCTCATGCCATATTTTTCTACTTTCTTAATAAATGGTAGTCTCATCCCTGATCAACAAATTTTCAACAATATTAAGTTATCAAATGAAACAAAAATGGTTCATTATTAAAATAATGACAATATTCTGCTCGAGTTAACCTTGAGCAAACTTCGATAAAATTTACCTGTATACAATTTATATGATAACTTATATAGTGAAGAGAATCAGTGGCAGATTTAGGGGGATATTGGGGGGTCCTGCACATCTGCAGACCCCCCTTCAAATACCGATAATCCTGCATCCGCCCCTGGGAATATTTAATCCACCTCAACTAGACATCAATTAAATGACTACTAAGAAAACTTAAGATGGGAATGCATGTACCCTGCTAACTCTAGACACAAAACAACGGATTACTTTGAGCAAAGCCTTACTTTGAACAAAACAAGGTATAATTTTGATACAATCGTACATTGTAACATGCCACAATCCTTTGCAAAAAGCCAATAAAATATACCATAACTTTTGTGAATATTAAACAATTAAACCAATTTTTTTTTTTTTTTTGACCAAACAAAGCAACACAGCAAATTTGAAATAGAAAAAAATGCAGTTATGGGTTGAATGCCACCAAAATACTTGCAAAAGCAATAATTACTTTTGGAGAAATAATCCAATATACTGATGTTCAACTCAAAAAGAACTAACCTGTTTTGCATCAGTATTATTATCAAAGCTCAAAAACGTTTCATAAGCATTGCTAATGAAATAATTAAATGCCTCTTAGCATGCCATCAGCAATTACACAAACTAAATGTGAGGATCCATCACCTGACAAGAGCTGCAATTTTTTTATACATAACATAATTTGAGTTAACTTGAGACACTTTTTTCAAAATTATTTAATATAATTTAAAAGAGGTTTGACATAGTTCAATAAAATAACAAATTCATTTCATAATACATCACTCCATTTATTTACACTTTTCCCTACAACTCATACTCTTCTATTTTACATCATTCTTTAGATTTTAATATGCTTAAAACAGTATGTCAGGTTATTAATATTATTTCACTTCTCAAATCATCATAAGTGATAGTTACTGTTTGTGGAGTGGAGTGGACTTGCAAATAAGTCACCGTGACTGTGAAATTAATGAATAATGTTGTAATTGGAATAAATTGTGGATCCAAGTCATTAATTCAACAATCAAAGTCGCTGTACTGCTCTTAATCACAAATGGCAATTTTGTTTTAAGGTATCTTCTCAGGGAAGAAACCATTAATACTATGGTCAGAGATTTCACTGCCCTCATATCATAAGACTAGTTCTTTTTAAAATCTTTTACAACCCTCACTGAAATGTATTAATCTAATCCTCACCCCACCTGATAATGAAACAAGAAACTGTAGTGGAAATCTGTGTTCAAGCTATGTATGGGTTCAATCTATAGTGCTTACATTAAACATGACATATTTTCCCAAACTTTCAAATGTTAAGTAAATGCTAGCTTTGAAACAATTTTAAAAACTGGATAATTGAAAACTGAATAAAAACTGAATAATCTGGGGGTGGTAAGAATGTAGGCCCATGTACCCCCGTCCCCTAAACTTCCCACCAACAAACANTAGACCTCATGCCATATTTTTCTACTTTCTTAATAAATGGTAGTCTCATCCCTGATCAACAAATTTTCAACAATATTAAGTTATCAAATGAAACAAAAATGGTTCATTATTAAAATAATGACAATATTCTGCTCGAGTTAACCTTGAGCAAACTTCGATAAAATTTACCTGTATACAATTTATATGATAACTTATATAGTGAAGAGAATCAGTGGCAGATTTAGGGGGATATTGGGGGGTCCTGCACATCTGCAGACCCCCCTTCAAATACCGATAATCCTGCATCCGCCCCTGGGAATATTTAATCCACCTCAACTAGACATCAATTAAATGACTACTAAGAAAACTTAAGATGGGAATGCATGTACCCTGCTAACTCTAGACACAAAACAACGGATTACTTTGAGCAAAGCCTTACTTTGAACAAAACAAGGTATAATTTTGATACAATCGTACATTGTAACATGCCACAATCCTTTGCAAAAAGCCAATAAAATATACCATAACTTTTGTGAATATTAAACAATTAAACCAATTTTTTTTTTTTTTTTGACCAAACAAAGCAACACAGCAAATTTGAAATAGAAAAAAATGCAGTTATGGGTTGAATGCCACCAAAATACTTGCAAAAGCAATAATTACTTTTGGAGAAATAATCCAATATACTGATGTTCAACTCAAAAAGAACTAACCTGTTTTGCATCAGTATTATTATCAAAGCTCAAAAACGTTTCATAAGCATTGCTAATGAAATAATTAAATGCCTCTTAGCATGCCATCAGCAATTACACAAACTAAATGTGAGGATCCATCACCTGACAAGAGCTGCAATTTTTTTATACATAACATAATTTGAGTTAACTTGAGACACTTTTTTCAAAATTATTTAATATAATTTAAAAGAGGTTTGACATAGTTCAATAAAATAACAAATTCATTTCATAATACATCACTCCATTTATTTACACTTTTCCCTACAACTCATACTCTTCTATTTTACATCATTCTTTAGATTTTAATATGCTTAAAACAGTATGTCAGGTTATTAATATTATTTCACTTCTCAAATCATCATAAGTGATAGTTACTGTTTGTGGAGTGGAGTGGACTTGCAAATAAGTCACCGTGACTGTGAAATTAATGAATAATGTTGTAATTGGAATAAATTGTGGATCCAAGTCATTAATTCAACAATCAAAGTCGCTGTACTGCTCTTAATCACAAATGGCAATTTTGTTTTAAGGTATCTTCTCAGGGAAGAAACCATTAATACTATGGTCAGAGATTTCACTGCCCTCATATCATAAGACTAGTTCTTTTTAAAATCTTTTACAACCCTCACTGAAATGTATTAATCTAATCCTCACCCCACCTGATAATGAAACAAGAAACTGTAGTGGAAATCTGTGTTCAAGCTATGTATGGGTTCAATCTATAGTGCTTACATTAAACATGACATATTTTCCCAAACTTTCAAATGTTAAGTAAATGCTAGCTTTGAAACAATTTTAAAAACTGGATAATTGAAAACTGAATAAAAACTGAATAATCTGGGGGTGGTAAGAATGTAGGCCCATGTACCCCCGTCCCCTAAACTTCCCACCAACAAACACACACACTTCTCTCAAAACCTTTTCTTTTACAAGCAAATATTGAACCTAGCAAGAAAAATGTGCCACTCTCCACTTAATAAAAAAGTTGAATTAAGTAAAAATGGAAAGAGAACATGTCCAATACCATAAATTACATACAAAAGAGTAAGGCTGAGAAAAATGATTGGTGTGTGTGTGTGTGTGTGTGTGTGTGTGTGTGTGTGTGTGGGGGGGGGGGGGGGGGGAGCAGTTGTTGAAATCCATCAATACAAGCCATTTTCTGTAGACCTACCACATTGAGTGTGTACTCACTATCTGAGGACAGCCTGGTGATGATGTTCTTTCTGAAATTCTGTGTGAAAATTCTTTCAGACTACGTCCTCGTGCAACATATTGATATGGAGCTCTTTAGCAATTCTTATAATGTACAACAATACTTCACACTGGACAGTTGGCAAAAGGCTGCATGGACAAACCATAAATCCATTGACGGTAAGCAAAATGATAATTATTTTCTGAGTTGCCTTGTACTAGGCCAGATTAGTTTAATTGTCTCTCATCACCATTTTAAACAACATACCTCTGGAGAGTTCCCAATGAACTCACAAAACTCAGAAAGGAAGTAATTTTACCCCAGATGCAAACCTACTTTTTACTCTTGCCACTGATTAACATGTCAGATGTCAATCCGTGATGCTTTACCTGTAAAGTCCATCCTGGATGAAAATAAGAAATAACCCATGTTGAAAGCTACCAATCACTGTCATCACTGGTAGGCAAAAGCGTGTCAATTTCCCCACATCCTTCTTTCAATTTTAAAAAACTAGAAAGACCATTTTTAAGATTGCAGGTTCTTCGTCCCATCATCTTATATGTTTGCTAAGCTGCAAACATTAACTTTGGGTGCAATGTTGAGCTAGGGGTCAATTGCTAGTATAATTTTTTTTGTCTTGTTTCTTTTTTTTTTACTCTAGCTGCACTACTCCTGGTTTGCCATCATAATCTTTGGGTTTAAGTCCATGAATCAGGTGATATTCTCTTTTAAGGAATGCAAACAAGATGTCTGTGATCAAGAAAATCTGTAAAGAAAAAGAAAAAAAACCCTGTTCAATGAAAGAACTGTTATGTAAGAAGCACTGCCATATGTCTATTAAAGCAATTGAACAACTCTGGTGTAAGCATTCACATGCTCAAACACAAATGTAAGGGAAGTACGGTAAAAACTTGAAAATTTAGTCGGCCTTGAAAGTTTCATCAAACTTTAAAATGGGCCTCTGGATAATTTTGAAAAGTTCTTCACCTTATATGGCCATTTTGGATTCAGGCATTTCAAGATACTAATTAATTTTTAAGTGACGAATTTTTCAGGTGTTTACCGTGTAGTAAAAATGGTCATCAGTCACTTACTTGAGCAGTGTTATACACTAACGTGACAGCAAAGTAAAAGTTGGCATTTGCACTTCCTGCATAAATCCACAGGTAATAAAGTATAGGTGCCAGCACCGTTGTGCTGATGTACATACAGCCAATCACAAAGCTGTTCCTTTGAACTGAAAACAGATTTAAGAAAATCACAATTAAAAAGAGCAAGCTTTTTAAGTAAAGTTCTTGATGAACAAAGTACTGGCTCATACAAGTACATGATTTTCATCGAATGCTCATGTTCATCTAGTTTAGTTTATTATTTTTAACATCCTATAGGTCTTTACATTTATTCAGTTACCTATTTATTCATTTACTTATTTATTTGATAAACAAAATTTTGGATAAAGCAAAATGCAATACAGCGAACCTACAATATTCCCCCAAACGTTATTTTGATTTTTGTTAAAGACAAAAAAAAATACCTGTTGATTAAATGTCAGTGTTAAGTAGGTAGTGGTAAGCAACACAGAATTAATTTACAAAAACCTATTACTGCAATGAAATTACCATTCATGTACAATGTATCAACATAACTTTTCTTAAGTAGTTATATCATACTCACACTCAAATGTAAAATACCATACAGGTAAAAGGGCTATATATAGTGTTGTGTCCCCATAGGATGGATAAGATTTAAACACAGCTATTATACTCATCAAAATGTACATCAAAAACACTGGGTGGTCCCTGAAATATACAAAGTGAGGCCATATAAAATTACATGCTAAAATACATGGTTTAAGTACTTGGTTGTGGAAAACTCCTACACACAAATGTAATAAAAAAAAAATTAATAATATAATGTACTAAATTTTGTATAATCTTATCAACTTCGAAATCAAACTGAAATTAACTTGGACTCATTTCATTGCCAGAAATAAAGAATTATCATATAAAGTTCATAAGTTCTTTAAATTTCATTAGTGTTGTGATTCTTTTAGTTAATGTCACATTTCATCTTTTCTTTCATCAATTGCCTTCTCTTCTGCTATCCTTTAGAAACATATGAATGAAGTATGGTGAATCTTAGTATTCCCATACTGTAATTTGTCGACTATGTGCAAGTAAAACAAAAAATCTCTGTCCTGACAGGCAAAAAAAAAAAAAGCTACATAGCTTTAAATTAATAACATATGAGCCTATTCAGAACAGCGAACTAAAAGATCTGTGAATCAAATATGGTGACCCAATAAAAAGGTTGCAGCTTAATTCCTGGTTCAACACTGAATAGATTCCCTGCAGGGATTACACAACATGCATTCAACTGGGTGGGTCATATCTGATCTGCGAATCTGTTAGTCTGCTGTTCTGAAAACGCTCTGTGTCACCTTTTTATCGCCTATTCACTTACTTGAGCTTGATGCTCAGGGGCACAGTGTAAATAAATGCATTAATCTGAAAGACGCAGACGAAGAAGAGACGAAAGTGTTCGAACATCTCTGTGAAGAAGTACCAGAACAATCCAACATTGGGTGTAAGATCTGGGACAGTCAGTCTGGAAGAAAAAAGTCGGTGACGCTAACAAATAAACAGTCACACATAAGAAAAGAGTCACTCCTATTATTGGTTCATTTTAACATAACAGGCATATTCCAGAAAAACTATCTGACTTTGAAATGTTTACAGTGACCAAGTTCATGTATATTTGCCTTGCAAAACATGACTGCTTCTTTTGTACTTCACTTATTTTATTTGATGTTTACTGCTCTCTAATTCAATATTTAATTTTAATAATCAACAGGAAAACAAATAAATAAGAGCTGTCACAGTGAGATGACAAAACTGAAATATATAATGCATTATTCTACCCCCTGAAAGTGGTTATACATTACACTTACACAAAGCCGTAAGTGGAATATAAGAAATTCCATGACTTCTCTATCCAAAATGACCAGAGTAGTAAACCAGACATCCACAACGCGAACCAACCACACGTCCTGGCCACTGACTTGATGGCTATAAGACTGGTCCATTTGAATTTAAAACCAAGGTCATTCTGAAAAGAAAAATGTACACACATATAGGTGAACGCATCAATAAGTAGAGTCTGGTGTAGAAACTTAAATCTTAGGCTACCCTCTAAAAAGGATGTTAAGTCACAAGAAAATTTATCCTATGAATGATTAGTGAACACTTCCCTTTAAAATGCACCACTTTTTATTATTATTATTATTATTGCTTTAACAGTGTTATTGCCTGTAATACAAAAAAACTGCATAATCTCCGTTATACACAATTGTTTTATGCATTTTCTCTATAATTTCATCCAGGACTTTTTCTATTGCATCTCTGCTTTTTAAATGATTAATCCAGGAAATAGAAATATACAATAAACACCTGCACAAAGCAAATTGCGGCTGGGGCCAGCAACATCACCGGATACAGAGACTGGTATGCTGCAATGGCCAGGCAAAACATGGCAACTCTTCTGTTAGGTCGGGCTGTTCAGAAATAAATAAAAGACACTTATTAAATATTATTAAATTTACTTAATTTACTTAAATTCACTTATTAAATTATCTTACACTAATTGTATGTCACATATAAATATCAGATGCATTTCTTTTGCAACTTTTCAAGTAATGGCTTTGTATCAACATGAAATATTTCCTAGAGTCCCCACTTCCAAAACTGTCTGAAAGAACAGATGTGAGACTGGGTCTTTGAAAAGAAATAAATATTTATTGTGGTGACAAATTGGAAGGGAGGATTTCTATAACATACAAAAATCAAGCAAAACTCTGAAAACAACAACATATAACTCCAAATGGTCTGTTTTAAATTTTCAAATCATACATATATTTACCTTTGATGGAGAAAAGCAGCGTCCCTGCCATGGCCAGGTTATTAAATACAGCTGTGGACTTTGCCAGGCAAGTAGCAATAGTGTATGGATTGAACAGGTACCTGAAATACAATAAACATATTGAAAATTCTAAAGATGACTAAGAATGAAGTAATTTTTCTACAGTCAACAGCTTAATATTGAAATACTTTTTACCTCCAATATAAAGATGACTGAAATCATCAAACAATTATACTAAGACCTGAAAAAGGCAGATAAATATTAACCGACTATTCTCTTTAAAACAAAATCTTCGCCATGCTATGCACAATTCTCAGTTCCAAGAAACTGAACTTGGATAAATGCATAATTAAAGCAATAATAACTCTTCGTTTCGGCCAAAAAATGAATTTTCCTGGAGTAAACAACAATTTTCCCATACTTACCAATGGTTAATGAATCCATTTTTACATTCAAAGTTAGTCCCTGGTTTTTTTCTAAAAAGTTTGGTTTTTTGTTAAAATCTCTTAAGAGATTTTAAAAGAGTATAGACATCAATGGAGGTCACGTTGTCTAAAGACAATTTCAAATATCAGAATAAAAGCTATAACTGCTGTTTTCTTGGTAAAACAGAATATATTCTATTTCTATGAGTTATTCACAAGGTTTTAATTGTGAAATATAGGTCTCATACGAAGAGTTATTATCCCTTTAAGTTCATTTACATGTTTAAAAATCCTCTCAACAGCTCTTTTAAAAAGGTGATCAACATCTTAAATCAGAGATGAAAAATGTAAAACTCACGCCAGTACAACGTACACCCTCCTCCACATCAAGTCATCAAAGCTGATCTTAATTTTTTCTGCATCTTTGGCAAATTGTCTCTCACGTTTGTGCTGTTGTAAAGCCTGTTCACACACAATGAAACTAGTCATTTCAGATCACAATAATCTGAATTATTAACAAAAAAAAAAAGGTTTTATTCACCCCTCAGTGTAACCAAAATAACATTCATTATAAGGTGAAAGCTGTTTAAAAATACTATAAAACAGTAATATTTTAAACAGCCAAAACATGTTTTAAGGTTATATACCTTGTTAAGCTAAGTCAGGCCACAAAAGGACTTAATATGAAACTGGTAGTTATAATGTTATCATATAACGTTCATGGCCATGCTATGTGTTCAGAAAGAGTATGGGTATTTTTAATATAGGTCTTTTTGTGGTGCAAGAGCTTTTTTAAAGTTTCTTGATGTTTTCTGTTATCTAAGCTTGTATCAGAAAAATTCCAACAATGAAAAGGAGCTGTCCATGATTGAGTACTATAGGGCCATGCAACCAATTTTATTTTAAAAACTCCATTTAGATTTTATCGCTTATAACTTTAAATTAAAGGGATTTTGCAACTCTCTCACAGCACCTCCAAACCACTTACCATGTACTGACTGATAAACTTCACTGACCTTTCCAGAACAAAAGCTGTCAAAATATCTGTTAGCTGGAAAATACAAGTTAATCCAACAATTAAGTCAAAGTAGCTGTGATAATGTATCTAATTTAAAGGGCCTCAAATCTGTTGTTTTTGAGAATGATTACAAATGACAAATTTTACAAAATATGTACTGTAAGATAAGACAATTACATCTTTTAATATTAAAAACTGTTTAAATAAGATTGTATTTTTCAAGAATATGCAATTAACCACTTACTACAAAAATTAGGTCAACAAGCCCAGGCATTTTCTTCACGGTGTAGTTGAAAAACTTCAAAATCAGAGGTGTCTGCAACAGAAAAAAAGCAGAATAAATATCCTTAGAGGACAACTTTAAAGTGATAATAAATTGCCATTTAATGCCTATCATTTACGGTATATATATATATATATATATATATATATATATATTGCCTTACAGAGCACTACCACCAAAGAACAATTTAAGATACAGGACAGACTATTTGCAAAAAACACTAAAAAGGCTTTGATCATTTTTTCTACATGTTTTTCCTTTGATTCTCAATTAAATGTCATTTTCTATTCATTATTCATTGAAAATATGTCTTTTAAAATGAGACTAGGCACTGATTATCAGCAAAACACTGTTTATGACAGGGAAAAGGTGAGGGGAAAACTAAAATGTCCTGGCTCAGAGCTCTGTCAATACTGTTGAAGATAACTATCTGGTTATGATAATGACATACTAGTGGGCCTTTCCCTTAGCACAAGGTTTCATGCATTAGCATCTTTGTTTTTAGTTTCTTGCATGTATTATTTGTGCTAGTTCAAATAAGAAGCCAGAAAAAAGAGTGTTACCGCATGAAACTTTGTGCTATCCTCAACCTTTCATTTTTTAAAATAGCATAAAGGAAAGAGAAGGGAAACTAATGAAGACCCTCTAGCTTACCTCATGAAATATATCTCCCGCATATGGCGATATACCACTGTTGTACAATGAAAGACCTTCTGTCACTGAAATTAAACAGCATATTTATCTGATCTCTTAAAAATGCCAAGGGAGAACATAATCTAAAATCGGTCTTATTTTAGAGATGAACGTTAATAATTTAATAAACCAATCAAGCACAACAGTAAGCCCATCACAAGATATCAGATATAAAAATGAAAAAGAGAGGCAGAAACCACATAGATAAGTAAAGCGTAAACACGACAGATGATGGAAAGAAAAATCGATGAAAAAAAACACCGGTCGGAATCTAGATCGATTTCCATATAAAGCTTTTATATATAACTCTTACCCCTCTTCCATGACGTAATTGGTGTTGTGATTTCATTGTTCCCAGCGCACCATTTTGCGATCGGGGTATTAAACAAGTAAATTCTTATAACAAATCCGAAGAACAATGTTGACAGGATGGGCGCTGCCATCTTGAAAATAATCTCGTAAACAAGACGAGCCCAATCATTCAAGATAAATAAAGCGAAATATCAAACCACTAATCTTGTGACACAAGCGTGTATCTAGAGTTTAAACCTTATCATCCATATCTCTTCTTCTGAGTGAATTTGTTTTATTTGAGTGTGCTATTGGCACTACTGTTAATGCTTATGTTACAATAATGCGCCATCTACTGGAAAGTCTAACAGCGTTAGAGTTTGTAAACAAATACACGTAGAGAAAGGCCGCGTGGAAGGCGCTTATATTGAATGGATTGACTCACTATATTGATCACTTGATATTGGAATAAATCGGTATGCTGACATCATACAACATAGCATACCATACTGTGATTACATCAGCGGTATGCCATTGTAGAGCTTTGAAGTTACCATTACTCACAAAGAACTGCACTTTTTATAGCATTTATTGTGACTTTTTAAGTGAATCTTTGTCCTTGTTGTGACTGTGTGTGTCACTGCAGGTAGGGAAAAGTTGTGAAGATTCCTGCATCATTTTCGTTTTAAAATTGCTTGAAATGGCAGAGAGGGTATCTAGTCCTTGCACTGTGGAAAAACTGAAGAAAATTATCCAAGATGTACGGCCGTCTTCCTCAAGACCTCCTGACAAGACTAAGAACAGGAAAGACCCAACCTGGTCAGCCATTCTGCAGATACAGGCACATTCCATGACTAACAGATACAATGAGGTGTATCCAGGGATTTTCCTCGGCGATCAGTTCAGTATATTGTCAATTATTAGAGATCTAAGAAATTCTGTAAGAAATAAAATGTGTTTGAATAGATCCAAATTAATTAAGACTTTCGTTTGATATTGCAAACTGAATATGGATAAAAATTGAATAAAATTTAAGAGTTAATTTTCTGAATTATGAGTATACATGTAGAGTGTTCCATTTATGATTAAATTTCCTTAGTTTTTGAATTCTTCATGTTAATTTTGTTTCTGTCGCAATTCCTTGACAGTTGAAATTATATATATTTTTTTTCATTTTACTTGCAGCTCATTAGCCAAAAATAAAGAAGAACTTGTCTCCCTGGGTATAACTCATCTTCTTAATGCTGCAGAGGGAACAAAATTCAATCAGATCAGTACAAATCAGGAATATTACCAGGACGTAAATATTAAATATTTTGGAATCCATGGTCAGGATGTTATGACTTTCAAACTGTCCAAGTATTTCAAAGAAGCTGCTGATTTCATAGATGAATGCTTGAAATCTGGAGGTAAAGTACATGTAGAGATATAAGGCACTAGTACTACAGTACTGCTTTAAACACTGTAGTAGTCTTTTTAACCCTGTTCTTTTTGTCTTGCTTTTTCGAAATCCCCCTCACCCCTCAACTGAAACGGTCCCAAACAAGATGGAAAATATTAGGTGAAGATGAATTTAATTGTGTCAGTAGCTTTGTTGTGAATGGAAATTTGGCTGGTAATGCTGTCATCTTATTGAATATTCAGTCAACTAGTCATCTGTGTTAGCCTTTTAACATTTTTTCTTGAAATAGCCTGTCTTTCACAAATGGGACCAAATATTTTATCCCATTAGAGGATGTAATTACACCATATGTAACATCTAATACATTTATTATAATGGGATGATGATGATGTGATGAATGATTATTGCTCTTCCAGGGAAAATATACGTCCATTGCTTTGAAGGAGTCAGTCGATCTGCCACATTGGTGACGTCATATCTCATGTTAAAGCAGGGCCAGACTGCCGTGGATGCACTGACATTACTGAGACAAAAGAGGGAGGTCATGCCAAATACAGGATTCATGAAACAGTTATGTGAACTGGATGAAGAATTACGAGTGCACTGACATTACTGAGACAAAAAAGCTAAGTCATGCCAAATACAGGATTCATGAGACGGTTATGTGAACTGGTAGGTGAATAAGAGGAAAAAAATCTATATTATAATAGCAGATCACCCAAAGTCTCCATTTCACGTTTTTCTCCCAAACTACAATGAACTGTTGACTACTGACAGGTGTTAGCAATACCTTAGGGCAGTGGAAAGATAGTGGCCACAGTTTGAATTTGATTACAACTGTTAAAAGTATATTTTGAAGGCATTTGATGACCCAATGGTAATGTCCTTGGCTGCCATACATGGCGGAGTGGGTTAGATTTCTACTCAGTCCCTTTTTTTCTTTCATTTTTTTAATATTATTATTATTATTATTATTATTATAGTTACAAAACCTTTGACTCAGGGCAAGTGTGGAAATAAGACTTTCACACAGAATATTGTACATAAAGAGATTCTATAAATTGTGTATACTAATCTCTTCTCATGGTTCAATGACTGATGTGATGGGTATCAGCTAGTTGTTATAAATTCTGCAACTTGAATGACATGTCAACGTTTGGTTTATGTTACATCTCCAGGAGCTGGGTGAAGAATTTTATTAATAATTATATAATAATGATAATAATTTAAATATTTATCTAATGTATAGCACCCTCAATTTCTTACATTTCAGTGCACTTTACAATTATAATATAAAGAATTACAGTACTTAAATACAGACTTACTTTTAAAGCTTAAAAACATTAATCATAAAAACTTTAAAAAGGACTAATTTTAAGAGAGGCTTTTAAACTGTCAATTACCTTCGCATCTTATATAAAAAGGCAGTTCATTCCACAAATTTGGGGCTAAAACAATAGAAGCTCTGCCTCTGTAAAGTTTGTTACAGTCCCTCTCTATTTCACAGTGGCTAAGTGTAAATTGTTATAATAAGAATTTCTAGTTTACCATTGTGGTTCATACTGATAAATGCATGTTAGCTTGGTAATGTTACTTTGTGCATTTTCCAGAATGCACTGAAATTGTGTGTGTTTCCTATGTGATATCTCACATTCAAAGTATGTTAGAAATACAGGGTTGACATTTTTTAGACAATAAATATTTTGCAAAAAAAAAAAAATTGTACTACATAAGAAAATTTTTGAGCAGATTCAGTTTAATGTAAGTTTTCTTGTTTTTTGTTTTTGCTTTTTAAAATGCAAAAAGTCAACTTTTTAAGCAAAATTACTGAGCAATACTGAGCAAAAAGTAGAAAAACAATTATATTCTATATCTCATGTCAGATTTATAGTGTGAATTGAATAAAAAGAGAAGTTAATCTGTAAAAGCTTCTTTTTTCTTTGTAATTGCATTAAATTCTAAATATAAATTAAATCAGTTCACAATGGCAGATAACTATTTTTAAAAATTCTAATACTCACCAAATATATGAAGAGCATTTTTTGTTTGGGTGGTAAGTTCCTTGAAATCGGGCACAATAAAATGCATTGCTAGTGTGTGTACTGAGCACATCCCTTCAATTAAATTTTGAAATATGGGCATAAATTGCAGATATGAATGTCTTTTAAGTGGCCCATCTGCAGTATTTATATACTTTGTAACAGAATGCTAGCAGTAAAGGATGTAGTCCCATTTTGCTTGTCCAACTTTTACACTTACTTCCATTTCTCAGGAGATCAACATAATCCGGTTTACACATGTCAAGAAGTTAACGTATCCTTATTCCAATCCCAAGTTATCCATATCCCTATCCCTAGTTATCCTTATCCCCAGGGGCGTAACCAGGCATACGCACGGATGCACTGTGCGTACAATTTTTTGAGCCAACCATGATATTATTCTCCATAAATTCAGTGTATTTTTCAAGGAATATAATCGTACCTGGGAATTTTCAAAATCTGTGCGTACAATTTTAAATGGTCTGGTTACGCCCCTGCTTATCCCTATCCCTAGTTATCCTTATCACTGTTCCTACTTATCCGTAGTTAGTGGCTAGCGCCACCTTATTTGACGGCATCAATACCAAGTACGCTGACCAGTAAGGAACACGCTATCAGTGTCGATGTAGGTTGGCTCCTACTCGTTCTCACGGCGCGGTTACAGTAGTCGGTGTTGCAGTGACAGATAATGCCATCCACTCCGGCCTTCTCATCGCCCTTGTAGCCACGAGTTTTAGTCAGGCAGGTCAACGAGGAAGAATTTCCACAGTCTCTCACATGCCAAGGGAGTTCTGTAATTGTATAATCATGTGAATTATTATTGTAGTTGATAAGACTTTGTAATATACAGTCTCTGTTATTGATGAAGAAGTATATGCATATATGTCGATGTCAATATTTTAGATCCTGTTGTAGGGTATACTGTACATGATAAGGAATATGAATTTGGAAATACAAATGACTTATATAAAAATAATTATTCACAAAAGGCGAAAAAGAAAAGACGTACAAATTGGCCCGCGTTGGATTTAAGGAAAACGGATTAAGTTTTTTAAGTTTTCTGAAAATATTTAAAAAGTCATGATGCCCTCGTGCTTTTTTACATTTGATCATTTTGCTTATGGTAACTGCGTTTATACTTTCAGAAATTAGGAGATTTGGCTTCAGATTAACTCACCAAATCCACGGATTCTGTAAAAACCGACAGTTTTCCTGCAGGATACGGAACAGTTAACCGTCGGTGTGTCTTCAATTTGTGCTCTGCATGGGTCGTTTATTTGGGCATTGCATCTGTAACATATCACTGATGTGCCTAGTATAAGTAAATCAATTAAACAGACACGTTCTGAATAGCAGTTTGCGGTGTTTTGTCTTGACGAAAGTGGATTACGGTACAAGCTTGGAATAAGGCAAATCATACACTAATTTTACTATGTTTTTAGTCGTTTAAAAGATGTTGCTTATATAAGCCTATTTGATAATCGCTGTAATCAATTATTCATGTTACAACATTGTAATGATGCTATTTTACCCAAACCAAAGAGCGGCTAATACGGCTTCTTTCAGTGTATGTTTGCCTCACATAGGTTTGTTATGCAAAAATTCAAAAGCAATTTTCCTGGCTTTATAAATTATTGTTTACAAAGTTCACAAACGGTCCTATAGATAAATTGAAAACGGGTCTCTTACACTATTTAAATGTTGATACTAAAACAAGCTTTTTACTTACCAAAATGTATCGCATTAACAAGCAGTACAAACACGAACAAAACCGTCCTCATTCTTGTTACCACGGCAACACAAACACGCTTGAGTGATATTTGCAAGTACGGGTTTGAAACTTAAACTTGCTTTCGCTTTAATTTCAGTGCCAGTGCCTGCAAGATTAGTTCAGCAACAGCATATTCGACGCGAAACTGGCTTATTACAAAACACGGCACACGAACTCGTATGTTAAACACATCAAATAACCTTGCTGACATTTACGATTATCTCGATTATTATTTTGTTTTAAAAAAGGAAGGGCTTTAAGTATAGACCTAGCGATGTTTCATGCGTGAAAAAAATTGAGAAAATATCTTTTATAAAGAGACAGCTGTGGAAATATGAGAAGCAAATTCACGCCGCTGTTTCTATGATACGTATTGTGATGATGATATCAGGTCTGAATTACGCACGAAAAGGGTCGACTTGAGAAAAAAGGGTTATAGAATAACAATAGTGAGACGTTCAGTACATGGGTGTTATTTTTTAATGAAAACAGCACGTGTGTTAATGATTACAAAACTTGACGTAAGAAAAATATGACACAGTGATATCATAATATGATGTTATGTATCAGGACAGATGAGAGAGAGAGAGAGAGAGAGAGAGAGAGAGAAATTAAAAAGTGCTGATTATTCTCTTGCCATATACATAATGAATTTGTGCTCAATTCATTTGTGTATCTTGCCCAACCTTTGTAATTTAACGCTACGAAGTGTAATCAGACGATTATTATCCTGCTTTCAGACCTAATTATTTTAGGCTCTCATGTTGTAAAATAAATAAATAAATAAATAAATAAATAAATAAATAAATACCCAGGTAAATCAAGCCATAATCGAGGTAAGTGCAGTCAAGCTCGGATTAACCGGAGTTCATAACCCACGCTTAAAAATCGTAAACTCGCGCCGAAAACGAAATGAAAGAATGCTAAAAAATCATATAATCTCATTTACATATAAAAAGAAGTCCACCTAAAAACAGTTACATTGTAACTTGGTGCTGGCTCAAAAATCTATCCTGAGATTGTGTTCTGTATATATATGCTCACAGGATGCGAGTCTTGAGCAGCACTTGAAGTAGATGGCAAGAATACGTATGTAAGGCCTCTATGCCATATTCATTCTGAATCTCCTACCGAAATACCAAGCCTTTTACCACAAAACCGTGCACCCAGATAAAATTTTACCCAGAGGGAACCTTTTCCCAGGTTCTTTTGAGCCACCCTACTCCCCCTACCCCCCCCCCCCTCAACCCACCCGGCTAAGGACCTGAATACTGATCACGAACTGCTGTCTTCTTACTTACTAGCTTTTGGTTAACGGTGGACGGTAAGAATACGTATATAAGGCATCTATGCAATAAGCATTCTGAATCTCCTACCGAAATACTGAACATAAACTGCTGCCTCCCTACTTGTATGTCTGAAAACCTAGCTACATTTTGGTTATATGTGAATATAATTTTGTATACGTAAGAAAAGACATTGTTTTCCGATGTATGTAATAATAAACGTGTCGTTGATAGAAAGTTCCCATCTTTTTTATAAACTAGAGATATATAAGTCTTGATGATAAAGAAACCATATGTCATTCGGTACGATCAGGCGTCATAGCCGTAACAGACGCCATTTATTGGGTCACAAGCATTTTTTGCAAACTAATGGCGCCCTTTCCTCACCCTCTTCCGCGTTGAAACGCTTTTTTTCGTTGATGACAAAGCTGTGTCGCTTACGTATCCTTCGTCATCTCTTCGTATTTTAGAAAATAACTCTGTGCGAAGAATTGTGCTGCTAATTCCCGGTATTTTAGGTAACAGGACGACGGGCATGATGTTCTCGACTATGTGGCGGTATGGGAAATTCGGTGCATCGTCCCCTCGTACAAACAAGGCCGTTTCTCCTTTTTCAAGATGCACGATGCACGTGAAGAAGTTAGCTGCGTTCAGGCTTGTAATGCAAAATACCTGAAATAACAATGTTGATAATAATGCTAATAATAATAATAATGGCCGCATCTGTAAACTAGCCTGATCCGTAAAATAAGCAGCTATAAATATAATTATAAATAAAAAAAGTTGAAATAGTAAGAAATATTTATGTTCAGATTACTTTTACTTAAAATCATGAAAGCATGAACTAAATATATTACAACTTATTTTAACATATTGAGTGACTGTTGAAGTCCCAAGTGTTGGGACGAAATTTTAATAGGTATCCTTTCAGTTAATGTAGAAATTGAAAAGTTTAAATTTTCCCAAATATGATTAACAATATCAGGATATTGCAACATAATTCTTTGTGGCTCTTATCGCCAAGACACCCTTATAGAACTTTATATTGCATTTAAGGTAAATCGATACGTTAGGATCTATTTTCTTATCCCCTAAGATCATGAAGAAATAAATATAACAAATAATGCTGCCACATCAAAAATACAACGGGGGTGATTACGCTAATTGAGCTGATGACGATACAGCAACGTTTTTGCGGTAAAATTGTGGTTTCGATTTCAAAGATATCTCCTGCACCTGAACAGCTATCAACACTGTTTTAACACAGATTAATAACTACAATAGGTACATGTACTTCAATCCGATGCTAGGGAATCTGTTTGAGAGGCTTACTTATTATTTTATCAGTAAGGAGGCAAAATAATGTCTTTTTTAATTGGACATCATAGCTATTGGCTCACGTCTCGTAAAAAAAAAAAAAAAACAAAAAAAAAAAAAAAAAAGCCTCGCTGGCACCAGATTGTAGTGCACAGACATGTCGCCAGCGTGACCATTTTCGTGACAATATTTTTCTTAGGTCTGGAGTTACGACATAAACCGATCATTACTCCTTTATTGAGCATTTACTAACGATAAACGAGGGCGGAGCTTAAAAGCAGAAGCTCGTTGGGTGGTGAATAAAACAACGAAAAATGTCATTTTTGCTCTAAAAGTGTTCTGTTTTACTGGGATAGTATTTAGCTAAAACTTTTACTAAAAAGAATCGAGAAAAACTGTTTTGACCAATCTAGACTGTTTTAATCTGCCTTAAGGAACCTTAGGGCTATCAAAGTGTGTCCATGCTTACCATATCAGCATGCTGCTTGACTTTCAGCATCCGCTGTTCTATTGTTTCAATGGGGACTTTGTTCTTCATTTTGTAACAGCTACGACTGTCATGAACACCGGCTATGACCTGGAATAAATATTGAGAGTGTTGGAAAAATTAATTCGGCCAAACTCGGATGATTTCGTATCCATCGATTGAATTCACATGTAGATACGTCATTAACCGAGGTGTCCCGAATTGTTTCAGAAATAGAATAAGTTGACGGACCGATTTGCTCAGATACCCGTTAGTGTCAGACAAATATCAGCTCTTACATAGCTATTACTTACGTCACATTTTACCATTTAAAACATACTGACAACATTTCTTAGCGAACTAAAACAAGTAAATTATTAATCACTGGTGAAAATAGAAATGACAAATACTAGCATTGGTTTCTATATGTGTCCAGAATGGCTGCAAAGTTAACAATGCTTTCAGGCCTGTGGACCTGGCAATCACCTGTTTTCCGAGGGCTTTGCATGTGGACAGCAGGAACACGTGTCCTTCGTGCAACAGATCAAAGCAACCAATGGTGTACACCTTGTCCACCCTGCCACCTAGCGGTAAGTTCAACAATCTGTTGTTATCCAGCAACGATTCCACCGTGAAATCCCCATTGGTGCAACTTGCAGTCCTGCTCTCCATCTTACAGCTAGAGTCAAAGGTCGAGCTGTGATTACTAAAGAGATAAAATACGTACGTTATTAAATTTGTTATAAACTCACTATTAATAAATTAGCAAGACAAATTACAATTACGACGACCAATGTGCTTACTTGGCTTAAAAAGATATATTTAGATGGTAAATCGAGGGGCTTAGGGAGTAGCATGCAAATTGTGTTAAGGAGGCTACCGTACAACCTGCAGTGAAACCAAGCAGGTTTTTAGGTTACAGATTTAGTCTTCTAACATTTTATAAACCGAGGACAAACCCACGGCAGGTTCCATAACGGCCAAGAAAGTTTTTTTTTTCGAATTCCACTGTGAAGAAAATTAAGAAACAATGTTCCGCCCTTCACTTCACACAAGCTGCAATTTGAGTTTTCTTTAAGAAGCTTTCGGTATAAGGGTCCATTTAGAACAAGTTGATCCGCGGATCAAATATGGCCGACCCATCTGAAAGCTTGCCGCAAAATCCCCTAACAGGCACTAAGTAGATATTCATGCGGGGATCATGCGTTACGCTTTCAAGTGGGTCGGCGATATTTGATCCGCGAATAAATTTTGGTTGTAAATGCGGCCTAAAACAATAATATTCGTCATTTTTTTTTCTTACTCGTGACTCAAGTCTTAATCAAGGACTACGTACAATATGTCTAATTTTGAATTTGGTAGGGGTTTCTTCGTTTAGGCGTTTGAAAAGTGTTGGGACCAGAATTAACAGGACTTTATTTGATGTTTTTTTTATTCTTTCATTTACTCACAAGTTTTCTAAACAGCATTCAAAACAGTCCCAGCAGGCATAGTTGCGTTGGATCAACGTTGAAAACAGGTTGATACGTTGAATTGCCGTTGATCTACCTAAATTCAACGTAAAATCAACGTTGATCCAGCCACGTCGAAACACCGTCATAATGTGACGTTGACTCAACGTTGTATTTTGGTCAATGACACAACCTTGCAGTTATGGATTGTAATTTAAAATATTAATTTTTGAAAACGTAATACTTTGTTTATCAATACTGTAACTAAATTTATCAAAATAATAACAAAATGGTTTTAAAGTAAAAGTGACAGTTGTTTTGTGTCTTTAGTTAACTAGTGAATTTTATTAACTTGTTATTCAGAAAAACATTCCAATAAACTGAATTCCTTGCAAGATTAGCTAACACTAGGATGAATAAGTTGCTGTAAATGAGATGGAGTTAACAGTTCTTGGTAACCTGTTATAGATAGACAGGTTGAGGTGACTGTGTTTATTCAATGTCTTCTCAACGTTATGGTTCAACATTGTTTCAACGTTAAAACAACATAATTTGCCCGCTGGGAGTGGACTTACTAGGCCGAGGGTCAAATATGTCCGACCCGCTTGAATACTTCCCCACGGGGAATCTATGCAGTGTCTATTAGCGGATAAGACGGCAAGTTTTTTAGTGGGTCGTCATATTTGACCCGCGGACTAGTTAGTCCACTGTTCTGAATGCGGCCTAATCTGTCTTGGTCAGAGGGTCAGTAACCGTCTGCACCGACATCTGGACACGCTCAACATAAATAAACTAACAAGATAAATTACAATGTTTACCATCACGCACTTTAACCATTGACATAGACCACATTTAATGTTAAACGGTCTTATGTGTCTCTTCGGACTGTTAATATTTTGAATGCTTGATGCACATGATAAAATCTACCTGAGGTCCAACGGAATGCATATTTAACTGTTAACTTGGTCCCTTTTTAATGCACGGAAACAGAGAAGGGTGTGTGTCGGGGGGCGGGGGGGGGGGATTATAGTGTGCTGAAGACAGTTTAATTACATTCACTTAAAGATAACAGGTTAAACTCCAAAACTTTGCATTTTTGGATTTGAGTCGAAAACGATAATGTGCTGGAGGTATCTGCTAGATAACATGCAAAATTAAGCGTTATTACATTGAATGCCAGGAGATAAGTTTTAACCTTGGGTTGATCTTTTTTTAAATCAAAGCCTGTTTGAAATAATTTGGGGTTGTTATTTGGCCACACCTGGCATTTTTCTATATATTAAGCTGTCTGTAAAATGTCTGGAAAATGGTTATCGCAAAAAAAATATTGAATCTGCATTACCCATGGTTCTTGTCCATGACCCTGTTTTGTCCAGGTTATGACCCCCTAAAAGTCCGAAAAGTGCATGACCGAATACCATAAGAGAGTAAGCATCGCACTATCGAGCATGGTATTTCACCCCACAATTAAAATGCTTACATTGACAGGGGCGGATCCAGAGATACTATCTGACAGTCTTCTAAATGATCTTTGTTGATACATCCTCCATTTTTTGACCGTCTTCCGACAGAAAAAAAAAATACCTATCATGTAAACTTGAAAATCTGACCGTCTTCCGGAAGACCCAGAGGATGGCCTCAATCCGCCCCTGATTGATACAGTCTCGACGGATAGATATTTGTTTCCTTTCTATATAATACAACGATTCTAAACCGTTACACACGCAAAAGGCGACTCCAGGACTTGACCACGTGTATATTGTTGACGTTTTGCGTTCTTGGCCCAAACCAAAGTGTGAAATGATTGTATCTGACAAACAAGATCTCAAAATACTTTTTACAATCCACAATGGTGTTTGATGTAATTTTGGCCTTATAGTATCCCCCATTATGAAAAGAAATCAAAATGAATTGAAACGTACATGTACCTGTAGTATGAAGCAATTGTGTAAATATTTTACAAACTGTGTTCGTTCCTGACGCGACTCAAAGGATCAATTTTTTATGGAAGCCCCATCCCTGTTGTAAAGAAATACCGTCTCTATTCAACCAATATGTTGAGATATGTTGAGATACAGTAATTCTGCTAACCAAGAGTGGTTGTTCTCCACTTCTCCTTGGAAAACAGACAAACAGTTTGAAAATTAGGTTTTTTACACTTTACCTGCTATGTAATAGATAGACCCCGAGTCAGCGAGAGTTATGTGGCATACACGAGTACGTTATTTAGACCACGGGTCCATTAGCGGGTTATAACGCATTCATGCGAGACGTGCGGTATAAATGCGAGTTACACCACGTCTAAGTCTTTTGTTCTTTATTTCCACCGTGGTCTAAATTGTATCTTAAACTGCAAACAACGCGCAAAGCATTTATACCGCATGAATGCGTTATATCCCGCTAAAGGACCCGTGGTCTAAATAACGCACTCGTGTATGCCACATAACTCTCGCTGACTCGGGGTCTATCTATTACTTAAACTGCAAACAACGTGCAAAGCACTTTTCTGCACTCTGTAATGATAATGACGGGGCTATAAATTGGTTGCATAACTACTCAGGCACTGCCACGTTCCAAGTCCCTGCCAAGCCCCCCTTACAGCAATCAAAACAGTTCATTGACATGTGCTTAACAGGGTTTTCGACTGTTCCTTTTGGCCAGAAAATGGATTTCCCTTGGGTAAACAACAATTTTCCCATGTTTACCAATAGTTAATGAATCCGTTTCGACATTGAAAGTTAGTTCTTGTTTCTTTTCTCAAAAGTTTAGTTTTTTGTAACATTCTCATAAGTGATAATATACAGTGGGTAGACATATACAGTATGGAGGTTACGTGGTCTGATGGCAAGCACGGGTTCCAGAATAATTGTGATAACTGCCGTTTTGGTGGTAAAATGGAATTTATTATATTTCTATGAATTGTTTACAATGTATTTCTCGTGAAATATAGATTTCATACAGATAATTGTTATCCCTTAAATCATTTGCCCTTCTTTAATCATTTGCCCTTCAAAAAGATCTTTTTTACACTTTGGAAAGAAAAGCTTTGGCTATAGGTATTTTGCTATAATCAAATACTTGACTACGTATAATAATAATAAAGAAAAATCAAATCGGCAAGCAAATTATTAAAATTTTCTTTAACGTCAGTTGGAATGTATCGGGACACACATTGAAAGCTTAATTTTTTTACTGATAAACCAGAACATTCAACTTTAAATTTCTTTTGAATATGTTATCATAGGGGGTTAACGTCCATTTATGTTCTTGAGACAAATGTCCATGTTATACTTACCAAGGATACTCCGTGTACTAACCCACTTCACAAAAGGTCAATTCTATTCATAGGAAGATCAGAACACTGGTACTAGTCTAAATGACAAGATTTCTACTGACACCTTTATCTTTATGGTGAAGTCTTCTTCCTGCCCCGCAACCCTTTGTTCTTATGCCACATTGAGCACTTTGAATTGGTGGTCGGCCGAGTGGAGAGTGGCAGGGAGGGGCAATTCTGCACTCTGATTGGCTTAGTTTTAGATGATTGATATCCAGCAATAGATAATTTTTTTTTGTTTTTGCAACTGACATTGTCGGATGGGACGGACTCAGTCTGTCAGTGCTGGTCTCCATACGTAGTGCGTACAAGAGGAATCAGCCATTTGGTGCATGGTGTTCGTGTGGAAGTTGAACAATCCGCTGTAACTTAGGTAGGGGGACTTCATTCCAGCGTCATATAAACAGTGTTTCTTTTTAATAATGAATTCTTTGCCGCGCGCAGTATCCCGTAGAATCCGTAGTTTTCTGTTTCAGAAGCTGACCTTCTACAATCATAGACGGGTGATAAATTCATTAGCCAAAATTAGGCGATTCATGGCGGGAGTATTTAAATACTTCTTGATCGAATTTGAGCATTCTTACGCGTGGTGTTGTCAATTTTGCGGTTTTTTAGATTCAGAGGAATGGAAACTCTACAGTAAACTGAACCTAAAGGACTAAGGCATAGTGCCAGTTTTTTTTTTTTTTTTTTTTTTTTTTTGGGGGGGGGGTGAGAGCTGGATCAACAATTTTGTGTTTTGAAATGAGGACATTAAAATAGTGTGACATAGTCAATATGCATTAGATTTTTGAACAGAAGTAACATAGCAATGAGATACAGTTTTATATAAGTTCATTGGTCACAGTGGTTTACTACGTGTAGATGTCCCTTACGTATTATATGAAGCACTTACATATTTCACATGCTTCTCGGTAAGTATGCTGCGTCTAGCAATTCAGATCGCTATCAAGACTTGCGTGGTCACCTCATATATGATGATGCATGGTTGACCCGTACCTATAAACTGACCCCCGCCTGCTTGATTTATGAATGGACTCGTTTTTAGAGTTGGGGCTTTATCCCGAGGGGAAAAAAGTAGCATATTAATGCCGCTTAGTCACTGTTTGCAGCAATTTCAAGGCCAGCCTCGAGCAATCCTCAAACAAAACATCGGGTTTATGTGAAATATATTCTACTGAGTCCGTTATCCTTTTCCTTGTGAAGATCTGCACAGGGGCCATAGACCCCATTCCCATGCCTAGATCGATCTACTCTCCTATGGGTTTCTCGCTAAATTGCATTCAGTTTTTATAAAAGCGTCTCTGTTGTCTGGCACGCCTACTGAAGCTGTTAGGAGGCAATTTAACTATACTTTAGCAGCTTCAGTAGGCGTGCCAGGCATCTAAGCCCCTTAATCTGAATGCAATTTAGCGAGGATACCTCGGAGATGGGTCAATCCTGCTAGATCGATCTAAGTATGGGAATGAGGTCTTATAAACTACATCACATGTCCTATTATGGAGGCACAGTGACTATAGATAGTAAATGCGCGTTTCTGATTGCGTTCGATCACATGGTTACAGTTTTGTTACACAGTATAGAGGCCTCTGTGATAGGACCGTGTGTGTTGGGCGTGGTAACCTTTCATCACTTATGCCACTACGTCCATGGTGCACATGAGAAGATTTGAAGTTAGATGCTGGCCGGCAAGTATCAGAAATGAAACCTCGATATCTGCGATGAGGTACAATGTACTTCAAAATGTTATGACGATGTTTTGGACAAAATTTGACGTGTCGGTTAATTATCGATGTTTCTACCTCATTAATTTCTCTATACTTCTAACTAAAAAGCACATAAGTACACATATACTGATGTTTTTGCCGTGTCTTTTTTCCACCAGGCATTTGAAGCACAATCTTTGGCTTTTTTACGAGCAGGTTGTCTCAGCAAGCGATATGTATCTGATGTAAGTGTTCAATCGGTAGTCGTAAGACTTTTTAATAAGCTGTTCCTTGTACCAGATTTACATCGAGTGAAATTTGCCTTTTGTTCTATTTTCAGGATGGACTATATTTACCCCTATTCGGTCTTCTTAACGGACGGACGGTAAATCACCAGCCTACCTTCAAGTACATTGCATGCACATATACCTACCTTGATACCTGAATCTCCGCACTGCACAATGGTATGCAATCGAGAGCCCACTGAATATGTTGAGTATGCCTGGGGTAATATTTCATCGGGTCTATACAACTGATTCAAGAACGGCCAGCTTCGTACTGCGTGTCCGCCGCAACATCAAGCTAAGGATAATGCATGGCTGTACTGTCACGAAATAGATCTCGCATGACACAGTAAGACCTGTATGGTGTGTCGGATAGCCTTACAGACATACAACGGATGGACATGCAACTTATACTTTGTGCTAAAATGGCATTGCCGTTGGTTATTATGACGTGTTGGAATTATTATACAGTACTGCTACTGATAACAGCAACATTGCACCCTATTTGTATAACAGGTGCAATATCGGGGGCAAACATTATTGAGGCATCATCAACCGTGCTGCCTAAACCGTCTGAACCCGATTGGTTGCACGCCACACCCTCCGACACTAGTCTAGCAATAATGGTGTCTTTTTGGTCTTGGATGTGGACACCTTCAATGAGAATTGGCTCTAACTCTACGACACCCTTTGACGAGATGAAAATGACTGTTCTGGAGCCCCTCGGGACAACAACACACAAAATTACCGCCTCAGCTGTGAGAACAGCGCTGGAGACGTCAAATGACATCGCTGAGGCTAACTCTCTTGAAGAACTGACGGCGCCTAATATTGTATATGCACACCCAACTCATTTCCAAGGGTTCGGAGAGTCAGCAAAGTGGGTTGATGATCCCCCGTCCGAGACAAGCTTACCAATTATGATATCGTATGCGTCATGGATGTGGACCGATCCTGTGACGTTATTTACAGATACTATGACGTTATCAAAAGATACTGTGACGTTATCTACAGATACTGTGACGTTATCTAGCAACACCGTGTCGTTCTCTTCTAACACCATGACGCCATTCACACACACTGTGACGACGACTGATTATTCTACGATACATGAGAAGTCAAATAAGATGACTACATCAAAGACAGAAACTTTAATTGAACCATCTTTCACAGTGACTTCATTGGAGAGGCTTTCGTTTGTTAGAAATACAAAAGAACTATCTACAGATGTTTTTAAAACGAAGAACATGTCGTTGTCTCCATTCCCCTTACCTA